GGCATGGTCGCAACGATGAGAGTATACGTATCCTCGGCTGCTAAACGCGCTGTGGTAGTTAAGGAAGACGACCTACTCACTAAAGCCGACATAGCAGCACAGCCTAAAGAGGTTAGTGAAGCTTTGTACACCGAACTCAACATCTGGCCTGATAACCGATGCTTTGAAATGTACGACCTATCCAAAGCTTCCAACATCATGACATCCAGATATGTATATAAGTGGAAGTTTGTGAAGGTAGGTACCGAGAACGTTAACCATCCGTCTCAGACTTGTCCTTCGTGGATTTATGGACACGGAGGCGTTTGATGTGGAAACCTTTTCAGGAACTGCTCGAAGGCAGTCCCAGAGGCTCCTGGCGAGCGAGGCGGCATGCCATCCAGAATGGATCTTAGCATCCATGGATATCGACAAAGCGTTCCTCAAGGGTTTGACCTATGAGGAACTTGCTCATGCCACCGGCGAGGAAACTCGCATGGTTTGCTTCACTCTTCCACCAGGAAGCGCCCAGGTACTTCGTACATTGCCCGGCTTCTCTTCTTATGATGAAAGCCGACGCTGTCTCAGGTGTCTCAAGCCAGGGACGGGTACAAAGGACGCCCCAAGAGCGTTCTCCCTCAAGCTTCGTACGACCACACGAGCTATAGGCCTTACACCGACAAGTTATGATCCTGAATTTGATTTCAGTCAAGATCTGTTAACAGCAAAACATGTCGACGACATCAACATGACAGGCCTAGAGAAAGATGTAGATGACTATGTACAACGCGTCGAGAAGGTGTTTGGCAAATGCAAGCTCAACAAACATTCCTACACGAACTGCGCCGTTCGTTACACCAAGAATGACCAGGGGAATGTGATCATGGATCAGGACGAGTACATTAAACAACTACGTCCTATCACACACCCCGAACTCACAGGAGCGGCGGCAGACGCCAAAGCCACCAAACTCATCACCGACATGTTCGTCAGCCTGCGAGGAGCCCTCGCTCATGCCCTTCTTACACAAGTCTGGCTTATGGTGCATGCGGTCTCTCTCAGAAAATCCAAGAGCCCACCAACTTACAAGTCAGACGACTGAATGCTGTGACGCGAAAGCTGACCAGCAGCCCGAAACGCATCACCTTCCCTCGGATGAAGCCGACGAACGAAGTTGATATACACAGTGATCTGGGGCATCGGAAGCTCACCGGGGAGGAAGACGACGAGACCAAGGGCTACGGCATACGCGGGGCCAACGTACTACGGCGAGGAAACTCGCTTCAAGGCAAACCCGTCGTTCACCTTTGTGACGGACTATGTAAATCACATCGACTGCAGGTGAGGCCCAGCTATGCCGCTGAGGCACTTGCAGCTGCACACAACCTTGATGAGTGCTACCCTACGCTCATCACTCTCCACGAGCTCAAGGCAGGGGCTCTGACTCCACGACAACTACGAGATATGCGTGAAGTTGGAGGCCTAGCTATTAAAGTATCCCTGACCATAGACGCTGAGTCCGTATACAAATCGTTATCCAGCAAAGATCTTAAGATACCGACGGAACGGACTTTGCTGGGACATATCAGCTGGATACGTGAGCTCATGGATATAGGTATAGTGCATAATGTGCAGTGGTGTGATACTAGAGATATGACCGCAGGTGGGCATACAAAAGGGAGTATTGATCGGGAGCTGCTTTTGGAAGTGATGTCAGGTACTCAGTCATTTAAGTATGACGTGAAGCAGTTTGTTCCGTTTCGGGGCCCCGAGGACAGAAACAAGCCTAAGTCTAATCAATGTTAGTCTGTCCTTGTTGCCCCCGCGGTCCAGTTTGCCAGCATGGGCGCCTAATACAGAGGCGCCCTTCTATGTGCTCGGAAACGAGCCTTCCATTTCACGCTTGGTAACGAGCCTGTTCAGTTTGGTTCAGGCCCTATGCCTTAATACCCGTTTGCTCGGAGAGGTATAGCCTGTTTGGCTTACCTCGAGCCGGGCCGATAGCCCCTTGACGCCCAAGGGGCTATCTCGCATTTGCGTGAAATGCTTTGCGAGGAAACTCGCCTTACAGTCTGGTGTTAGGCCAGACTGTACGCACTGTTTTTCTTGCAAACAGTCGTGCGCGCGGCCTTTGTAGAGCCGAACGGCTGCGCGGCTATACTCACCGTCTCCTCCCCTCCCGACTTTAAGGGTAGCTCTTTGGGAGATGTTAAATAGAATCGGGAGTATAGCTCGCGCGCCGTTGCCTTTGGCTCAAGGCACGCGCGCCCTATTTGCCCGGACACTGCGAGAGTTCGCTATGTGTTGGAAAGATCATTACATCGATCTTATCCTATCTTATCCGCCCATTCCTCTTACTGAACACCCTCAGTACGATACCGGACGCTATTTGCCATCCGCTTCCCATGGAATCGGATGCTATTTGACTTACCATAGTCACTTCAGACGATCCCTCTCTTTGGACGGGGTGCCCCTACATTCTGCGTTTTTGTGGCGCTCTCCGCCCTGGAAGGCGGCTCGCTCTGCGCACGTCCATGGGGCCTTTGGGCTTTCGGCGAGGGGGCCCACGTTCTTGGGGCCATGCTGCGGCCGTGCGGCAGTTCGCGCCGCGCTCACGCGGCGGCGGCCCGCCAGAGAGACGTGCGGGGTCGAGGTGTTTCTTCGCGTTCGGCGCTCTGGGGGCCCGTTCCGGGCCCCCGGGCCGTCCGAGGTCAGTTTGGGATCGAGAGGCTGCCCAGGATGGATCCCAGGAAGAGCCTGGGGACCGATTTCGAGCGGATATGGTGGCGTTCGCGCCGCATTGACGCGGCGGCGCCCCCAGCGCGTGCGCTCAAGGTCGAGCGCCGCCGGTGGCCGGAGTCGGCCGACGTCGAACGATCATTGTAGTCAGGGCCGCGGTCCGTTTTCGACGTCGAACGATTCACGCGGCGTCAGAAACCAACACCGACGTCTTCACGACTCGAACTCGCCGTACCCAGTGATGGGTATGTCGGCAGCGCGTTGGACGGCGGCAGGAAAGCGCCAATCGCGCGAGGCGGAGCAGGAGATCCGTAGGGAGGGACGGCTGGGAAAAAACGCGACGGCTAGTTTTTCAAGGATGTCGGCCTCTGGTAGCCGTCTCTCGGCCACAGGACCGCCAAGCAAAAATCCGAGATGCAATGCCCACAGGAGAGGGGACCCAGATCCCGGAGGGGCACACGCTACGAAGAACAACACGTGGGATGCGAGGAGGGTCCGCAGAAGTTGGCGGAAGTAAAACGAGAGTTACTCCGCTGGCGGAAGGTCGGCGGAGGCTGGCGGAAATAGAAGATGTGCCCCCAAGAGGTATCCAGGTTTTGGGATTCAGCGGGCCCGCTGCGTGAGGGAAAAGGGACCTCGAGGAAGGGGCCCTTGAGGTTCTTCACCGTTTTCGGCCTCCCAGGGCCCTCCCCGGGCTGCGGGAACGTCGAAAAACGGCTCAGGATGCGGCCTTGGGCCAGGCACCGGGTTCAGGACCCGGTTCCCGAAGGACGCTTGTTTCTTGGTGGCCGCATCACGGTCCCCCTTGGCCTGGCCCTCCCTGCGCCTCTGGCAGCGCGGTTGGCGGTGTCCTAGTCGTGCCCGCCCCAGTGGTTGATCTCTTGCGATTGTGGGCTACCGTTGCCGCGCGTGGTGACTATGTGTTTCTTGTGCGCGGAGCGTAGATGGTTGTAGCAGCTTGTCTTCTTAGGGCGGCGTGGGCCTGGTTTCCCGTCTACTTGGTTGCTTGATGGCACCGAGCCAGCCAGCAAGGGGCCGTTAGCCCGCGACCGTCATGTTACGGCACGGCGGCTGAAGGTAGCAGTGGTACGCTCAGAGCCATTGGACAGATCCGAAGTTCATGCAGGTATCCAAATGAGCGATGGAGGAATACGGATTCGTCTTCACCGGCATTGGCGCGGAAGTTGCCCGCGTAAGGTCGCGAGTGGGCGCCCTTGTCTCCGATGTAGCGTGCCGCATTGGCAGCCCGCGTAAGACACCGCGCAAGGTCATTATGCCATCTTGTGTAAGACCCCTTTCTTTTCGTCGCTCAAGCGGGCCACGTCGCAGAAGCGTCGGTCGATTTCCACCGCGGTGGGGTTGCCGTTGTCGGCGCGTCAGGGGAACGCGCCGATTTCGGCAAGACCCGGGGCCGCGGAGGGGCTGGAGACCCCTGCGCTCTTGGCCCTCGCCGCGTCGAGCGCCGCCAGCCTCCACCACTTACGCCCGCGCGCAGGCGCTTCTCGTCCGTCCTTGCTCTCTCCCTGCCCGCGGAGCCCCCACGCAGGCCTTCGACGTCTTGGTGTTTTCTTGTGCTCGCGGAGCTCTCCACCCCGCCAGGCCTCCCGAGTCGGGTCCGAGTGGACGGGGTCCGGGGATCGCGCCACGTCGCCGATGCATCGGCGATGCGGCTCGACGGGGATCCAGATTTTCTCCACGCTGATAGCTGCGATGCAGTGCCGACGTCACCGATGCATCGGCGATACGGCGGGATCCTCCGACCCCATCTACTCGGACACCAGTTTGGATGCCTCTCCAACCCCCAGGGGGACCGGTTATCCGCCCCAGGTCGTTCTCAGACGGACCATGGGGCTTGGAAACGGTCCCAAGCGCCGGAAACGACGGAAAGTTTTCGCTTTGGTTCTTTTCAGGCCGCTTGGGAATCTCTGGGCCCGTGGAACGCTTTCTGGAGGTCCCCTGGGGATCCCCAGAGGTCTCTGGAGGTTCCTGGGGGGCTTCCAGAGGCCCCTGGAGGCCTCTGTATTTTCTCTGGGTCAGACACCAACGTGCAAACAGCATGGCGACGGCAAGATCCATATGTCCATGTGCGACGGGTTACAAGTGCGTTGAAAATGAGTTGAGCCGCCCAGCACCTGTAAAGAAGACAGGGATTCGGAGAGCGCCGAACAAAACTGCCAAAACTTCGAGTGTTCGATCTTCTACCTCGTGGCGTGTGCGCGCGGAGCCCAGTAGCGCGCGCCTCTCGCGGGCCCGTTCCTCACCGCGCTTTCCGCCGCCCCCAGGCCGCAGCCCGCAGATCGGCCCCAGCCCCGCGGTGGGGCCACGAGCTGAGGAGAGCGGACCCTCGGGGAGGGTCAACGGTGGGAATCGAGGTCCGAGGAGATTGTTGTTGGCATCCTCTGGCGCGTAACGGTCGGCACCCGGGCCAAACCCACCCAGCCCTTGGCGAGGGCAACAGTCGTACGTACGGGGCAGGCCTGGACCGCCCACCCTCATGCAGGTGCTCGCGCACATATTGTGGCAATTGCGGAGCACCCCCGCCCCGACGTGCCCCACCTTGTCCGCGCGTTACCGTTACCTGGGGCCTCAGACGCCCCCCCCCCGGTAACGCTTGCCACCCAGGAAAAAGTCGAACCACAAAAAAACATCGAGGAGTTCCAACGTTCTGGTTGCTCTCGGCGGTTTTCCAGCCTCGGGGTGCCGTCCAGCAGTAGCTGGTTCCTGCATCGGGCTCAGTATGCTGACCAAAGCATCTCTGCCACCACAAAGCTCACGAAGGGGGTGAGCGTCGCGACTGTGCTGGCGCTCAGTCTCCAGATTCACCTAGTAGCAACGAAGGGATAGCGGCGCGCATACTCTCCAGGAGACACGCCTCCAGTGCAGAGCACAGCCTTTCGAGCAAGAGCCCAAACTAGGGCCTACCGCACCTAAAGATGCTTACAATGGGCGCAAGAATCATCATGATTCGTGGAGCCTCGCTACTGGCTGGTCATCATCGGATGCACGCGCCTGCAGCAGTGATTTCCTGAAGCGTTCTTGCTGGCTATTAGTTACAGGTGATTCACTGCATGCGCGTCTGAGCACGACACCGGGTGCATAATTGATCTACAATACAGGGCGGCATTATCAGACGCCGACACACTTGTGCGAGCACGTTCAAAAGAAATAAGAAAGCTCACAGACCTCTTGAATGCATCGGGCTTTTCTTGAGCAGCCTCGCGCGCGCCTTTTTTGTGGGGGGGGCAGGGGGACGGTCGGGGAGGGCAGCTTTGAAGCTTAAAGGGAGCCTCTGCAAGTCCCTCCGGATACCATTCCCCCTGGAGTCTCGATTGGGCTTCGTGAAGCTTTCCAGGGGCCACCCCCAGGGCCTCTTATGAGCGCGCTGATGTCAGGGCCCCCAAACGGTGTGGTGACCACACCGCGTGTTGAGTCAGTGGGGTTTCTGGGTCACCCCACGTTGTTGGGACTCGGGTCGTTCTTTGGGGGCGTCCCCCGCGTGGTGAGGTAGCTGGGGATTCCAAGTTCACCGCGCGGTCCGTCACCACACGGCGCGGGGGGCCCGAAGTGGATGCAGGCCTTTGGGGGCGGGGGACCCAAAGAGCCCGCTGGACCCCCAGCGGGCGCCGCTGCGCTCCCCGCCTCTCCCGGCGGGCCGGGACTTCGGGAGGCCAGCCAGCCCGTCGTGAGCCCAGGGGCTCCTCTCGGAGGCCGAGAGCACAGGCAAGCAGCCCGTGCTGCTTTTGCTGTCCCCCCAAGAAAACCCTTTTCCTGCTTCAGGAGAAGTGAGGAGAGAGGCGCCATCCAGGCCGCCAGCCAGAGTGTCATAAATATGTGAATAGATGTATCGATCTATATACATATATATATATATATATCCAACAACAACAACAGCAACAACAACAACAACAACAACGACGACGACGACGACGACGACGACGACGACAACAACAACAGCAGCAACAACAACAACGGCAGCAACAACAACGACGACGACGATAACGACGACAACGACGACGACAACAACAACGGCAACAACGACAACGACAACGACAAGAACAGCAGCAACAACAACAACGACAACAACAACGATAACAACGGAACACATATATTTGCTTTTACATGATATGATTCACACCCAACGCACAAGCACAGCAGCAACAACAAATATCAATGTAAGATGGTTCGCGCTTATCTGTTCGAGTACCAGCTCACATGTATATGACAAACACTCGATACCCGCCCTCTTCGTCTTCGATCGTACCCCCCTTGGCGGTATATCTTCATTACGTGCCACGTGTACTTGGCGCAGCCCCCAAAACACTGGAAGGGAGGGAGGAGGGAAGAGACAAGAAGGAGGGAGAAGGAGCACGAGAGAGATTTGCAGTAAGGGGGTCGGGAGCAGGAGCACAAGCGGCAGAACCAGACCAGCGGGTCGGGCGGGCGGGCCCTAACGGACGGGCCTTTCGGGCGAGCCCACACGGCTGGGGTCGAGCGGGCGGGTCGCTGAAGCTTGAGTCTTGCATGAATCGCGAGGAAGTCTCGAATGGTAGTGCGATTCCCAGAGAAATCGTGAGGAAGTCCAGAGCGAGAGCGTGATTCGTAAGTATCGTGGGCGCAGCGTTTCAGTAAGCTGCGAGGAAGTACCTCGCGAGAGCGCGATTCCTGGATAAATCGTGACGACGACCCGCGCGAGAGTGCGATTTGAATAGAGTTCGAGGAAGTCTCAGGAGGGAGCCGCTGTTGTGGTAAACCAGGGTCCAGCAAACCAGCCTGACGCTCAAGATTTGCCTTTGCAAGAAACAAGGCGCGAGCCCTGAGAGGGGCACTTCAATTGAAAAAACACCAGGTGCACCAGAGGGGGAGATCAACAATAACTCCACAAACAGTATTTGCACTTAGGATTTCTTGTTTCTTTTCTAAGGAATTGGGCTGGTGTGCCGGTTTGGCTGCCGCCGTCGCCGCCCCGTCGCCGCTTCGTCGCCGCCCGTCGTCTAGGCCGGTGTGGAGGTCTGGCGGCTGTGTTGCCGCCGTCGCCAACCGCGAAGGTGTCGAGAGTTCTAGGGCCCAGGTCCTGACAAAAAATCATTACGTCGGAGGTCTGGGCCGCGCTCACTGCCAAAGGCGAGAGGTCCACCCTGGGATTTGGGAGAGTGCAAGTGGAATCAGTCAAATGGAGTACCCAGACCCCCTCGCGTCGTGAAGAAAATGCGACGGGCAGTCTTTTGTCATTTTCCGCCGCTCGGTGCCCTCGCAGGGGTCCCTTGGACTGTCGAACCAGGACTCGGGGTGAAAAACTGGCCCCAGGGAAAGGGGCGAGACATTCAGGGGTCCACGCTGTGAAAAAACTCATAACATCCGGGGTCTGGGTAGGAAAGGGACAGGACCCTCGCCAGAACTTGTGCAAACCCCCCGACTCGTCGCAAGGAGGCGTCCAACGTGGCCGCCATGGCTATGGGGTTGAACCTCTTCATGCGGCCTCCGGTGGCGGCCGCGGGAGGAGAATAAAATGATGCGAGTGAAAAAGAAAGGAGCGCGCTACCAGGCTGTGATACTTCCCTGGTTGACTGGACATGAGCAGCTCGGTCGTAGTTTCAGGAAATTGAAGGAGATGTGCGAGACACAGGGAGGGCGGATTTGAGACAACGGTATTTGGCCTTCGGGGAGGGCCCTCGTCGCCACGGCTGGGCGCAGCTCGGAAAATTGGTGCGTTTGGACCCCAAGAGGGGTCTGGGAGTCGATTCTGAGTTGCCTTTGTCTCAATTCGCCCGGCTCCGAGAGACAGCCATGGAGCATCAAACAGAGTTGGGAGCGAGATTGCAGAGCTGCTCGACCAAGCAGAAGCCTGCATCCACCCACCCACTCCCAGCTCGACCCAACTGGGATGCAGCACCCGTTTTGCTCTTTGAAGGAGACGGTGAGCAAGGGGGTTGGGGCGGGGGCAAGGAGCAAGGGACCCAGACCTTCGACGTCATGATCGTTTCGCAACGTCGACCCGGAGAGGTCTCGACCCATTCCCCGGGGACCAGTTTTTGCATGCTGGGTCGTTCCGTTGACAGTCTTGTGGTTTGGGCGAAGGTCCTCAGAGGAATAGAATAGCAAGATTCGGCGGAGCGCACAGGGGGGGAGGGCGAGGGGGGAAAAGCTTCTTAAATTGAGGCTGTTTCTTAGAAGGCGACGGCCCTACATCTGTAAACAACGCCCGCGCCTTCTAAAAAGCATCCTCCTTCTAACGAGCCTTCCCCCCTCCCCCCACCCCCCAGTGCGCGCTGCCAAAAAATACTGTCCGTCGTCACTTCTTTCACGACGCGAGGGGGTCGGGGAGAGAAGAGGGCCTCACAGCACCTCGCCTGAGAGCACCTCGCCTGAGAGCACCTCACGATATCCTGCAGGGGTCGCCAGCCCGATCCACTCGGCAGGCGTCGGCGCTCCTCTGCCTGCAATACCGGGGCGCACCTCCTCGCCCGCTCGGAGTGCCACAGGGGGGCCGCCACTGAAGGGGGACACTACAAAGAAGCGAACACTGGGGTGCACGAGTATCCAGCCCGTCCCGCGCACGACCCTGCCGTGCCCCATGGTAAGTAAGCCCGCAAGCCCGCGCAGTCCGTTCGGCGGCACCTCCCCACATCTCGGCGGCACCTCGGAGAACTGCAACACCTTCAAAGAATCACGATCGGATCCCAAGACCCCATCTTGTTGCCGCATTTTTCGATTTCGATCGATCCGCGAGGGTCCCAGCCCGAAACACCCAGACCCCGACGTCGTGATTTTTTCACAACGTGGACCCCCGGAGGTGTCGACCCATTCCGTGGGACCAGTTTTTCATCCTGAGCCATTTTTGTGAGGTCCTGGGGCTCGGCGAGGGCCCCCATGAGAGTAGTTCTTGACAACGCGAGGGGGCCGAAATAGGGCGAACCCGCCAGGTGTCAAGCTAATGCCACGCCAGGATCTCAGGGTGGGACGATGACGCGCGCGGGCTCGGGAGCGGACACCAGAGGGCCATGGCGCCTTCCCCGCCCACGGTGTCCTCCGAGGTTCCTCGGGTTCCCTGGGTTCCTCGGGTTCCCCCGGTTCCCCGGGTTCCCCGGGTTCCTCGGGTTCCCCGGGTTCCCCGGATTCCCCGGATTCTTCGGGTTCCCCGGGTTCCCCTGGTTCCTCGGGTTCCTCGGGGTCCCCGGATTCCCCGGGTTCTTCGGGTTCCCCGGGTTCCCGAGGTTCCCCGGGTTCCCCGGGTTCCCAATTCCCCGGGTTCCCCGCCCCAGGTGCCTCGTATTTTTATTGTGCCCGTTCCAAGCAATGCTAACCAATGCCAGCCAATGCCAAGCACTGCTAAGCATTGCCAAGCAATGCCAAGTAATGCCAAGCACTGCGCCCATGCAATAGGAAGTTTTCCCCTAATTGGGGTCGCACCGGTTTCATTTCATCCTGAGACATTGGTTTCAGGTCCTGGGGACCGGAGAGGGCCCCCAGATGCCGAAAACGTTTTGATGTTGGTGGGCCAGACGAAAGGGTAGGATGTAGGGAAAGGGGGGGGTCCAAATCTGCTGCATGCAGCCGGTTTCAGCCCCGCCGCCAGACCCACTCCTCGATACATGGGCGCTTCTTGGCGCCCAGAGGCGCCAGGAAAACCAGCCACATGATCTGATTCTCTACCCTGCCCTTTGCTATCCTACCCTTTCGTTCCGAAGAGGTACAAGCCGGTGCTCACGAGAAATCGCCCTGGGGTGTCGCCATGAAAGGATCGGGGGCGTCCATGCGGGAGGCTAGTCAGGTAGCAGATCACAGAAGCTTTCGCTCGTCCTTGGTCGAATGTATATCAGATATCGGCGATCACGAATGCTGTCCTACTTTGGATTTCACCATAAAAGGGTGGTATTCTGATTTGGGGGGGTCTGATTTCAGCTGTCTTGGAGGTTCCCAGTGGGGTCTAGGCAACAGGACGGACGCCCTTTCATGGCTGACCTAAGGGGGGGTCCACAACTGCTCGTCTGGGAGGGTTGTGACCGTTTTTTTCTTTTGCCGAATTGGGAGTGCTCTTTCGTCCCCCCCGAGTTGGATGCCTGGTCGGGGGGGGGGGGCGGGCGTAGGCCGCACCTTCGGCGCCGGCGCGCGGGCCTCGCAGAGCATAGCCCCTCCGCCCCCCCCAGAGATCCGACGCAGCATCTTAAAAATCACGGCTGGCGCCCTGAACACCATCTTGCCCCAGACATGCTCGCGTCGTGAAAGAAAAAACACGACGGAAGGTTGTTCCTTATTGCGAAGGCCTTACGGCCGGTGCCGCCGACGTTGAGGAGCAGGAAGCGGAGGACGTCAGGGAGCAGGAGGGGGGAGGACGAGGAGGAGGAGGAGGATGTTTTTGTCAGAGTGAGCCACAGACCAGTGTACTGTCGTCAGTGTGTTGCCTTGTTCATGTGCGCTCTATCTCCGCTGCCGTTTGGATCAGGGATTGTTCGCAGTGCGGGGCACTAGACAAAACCTTGCATGGTTACGTCTCTGCACATCATGTGGTCAGCCAGTGGGAAGCAGTGGTTTTCCCATTGGTAGCGGAGCAGGTTGCTCCAGCGTCCTAGGAGGGACGCCCAGCTCCTGCCGGGAGGCACCGGCAGACGACAGACCACAACATGACGACAGAGTCCACGGAACCGAAAGGGCTTCGGTACTTCAACGGAGATGGCGGTCAGAGCAGCAATCAGGAGCTGCGCAAGTGGATCAAATTGGTTGGTTCGGCGATGGCATGCCGAAAGCTCGAGTCCACGCAGAAGGGGCCTTTCGTCTACACACTGCTGCAGGGATCAGCGCTGGAGACTGTGGACCATCTTGAGTTTGAAGACTGTGAAGTAGAGGACGGTGAACAGATCCTATTAGACCTCTTGTTGAAGCGCTGGCCTGCAAAAGGACAGGGGGGTATCCTCGGCGAGCACCTGGAGGCGGTGTTCGCGCTCCAGGGACGGGAAGGAGAACCCGTCGCGGTCTGGCTGGGCCGGGCGAAGGAGATGTTTCAGAAGCGTGGTGTCAAAGCCAACGTGCAGTTTCCGACGGAGGCCCAGGCTTGGATCCTGTCCCATCGGTGTGGGTTCACGCCTGACCAGCGGGCCATCGTGAAGGCGAAGGCGGTGAAGTACACGGCGGACGCCATGGAAGTGGCGATTCGAGCGGTGTTTCCCACTTACAAGGTGCCGCAGCAGCGACGTGCCGAGGCGGGCGCGTGCCTGGCTGACCAAGCAAAGGATGATGAAGACGGTTTTCCTCCCTCTCTGCTGCCGTGGCAGTATGAGACGGAGGCGGTCCAGGAGGATGACTTGCGGACGTCGACGCCCTCCTGGCCGAGGATTCCCTGGAGGCGGCAGTGCCCGACGAGGTCTTCGAGGAGGCTGAGTTGGTCGAAGTGCTGGCGGCAACGTGGAAGGAGAAACGCCAGGAGATCAACGATGCCCGCAAGACGCGGAGTTTCCAGAAAGCAGACAAGCTGCAGATCACCTTCCGCCGCGAGCTCGAGGAGGCCAAGCGGAAGACCCGGTGCCACGCCTGCAAGCAGATCGGCCACTGGTCCCGAGAGTGCCCGAAGAAGAAGGGCAGGGGGTTCGGCAAGCGCGGCAAACCTTCGGCGGCGGCGGGGGCAGCGTTCGTGGTCCTGGAAGGAGCCGGAGCGCATGATGCCAGCCTGGCCACCGCGGTGCAGCAGACGCGGGCTCGCCGTGCCGTGGCGGAGCCGGGCCAGGGTAACCCGATGGAGATCCTCTTCGCATGCCCGACGGGCAAAGGTGTGGTGGATCCTGGCTGCGGTAGGACACTCATCGGGGAGAACCCACTGGCGAAGCTGAAGTCTCTGTTGGTGTCCAGAGGTCAGCGCTTGGAGTTCTACGAGGAGATGAACGCGTTCAGGCTCGGAAACAGTGGTCGAGAGGAGTCGAACCCGGCGGTCAAGATCCCTGTCGATATCGGCCAGGTGCAGGGTTACATCACGGCCGCGGTGGCACGGGGGGGCGCCCCGCTCCTGCTGAGCAAGCCGCTGCTGAAAGCCCCCCAGGGCCGCATGGATTTCACGACGAATCGGATCTCGTTCGACGCACTGGGGGGCACGGTGGACCTCGAGGAGACCGAGTCCGGAAACTATATCATGCCAGTGGTTGCAGACATCGCGGACGTCTACACGGCGGCGGCCAGCAACGAGCCGCTATTGCCGAGGGAGCTCACGACGGAGCCCGAGAACTTGAAGGGCTCGGTGGAGGAGGAGAAGGAGAAGGCCACGGAGGACACGGAGGGGGAAATTCCGGAGGATACCAACATGGAGGTGGAGATGAGTCAGGCGATCCCCGGGGCCACGGAGAACTTGGAGGAGCCCGGGGCCTCGGTGCTGAAACGCAAAATCCGACGTCAGTTGCAAGAGCATCTTCGGGGGGCTCTAGGTATTTCCCATGAGAAAGTACAATGGCGGGTCTCGGAACTGTTTTCCCCACCTCGGGTACTGAAGCGGGCCGAAGAGACCAACCGTGGAACGGGACGTAGTGACGATTTACTGACGGGCTACGATCTTTCCGACCGGACGGTTCAACATAAGATCACCAACGAGCTGAAACGGTTTCGACCCCGTGTGCTGGCGGCATGTCCCCCCTGCACCTGGCGCGGCGGTTTTGCGACGGTGAATGCACGACTGCACAGCATGACGGAACATATGCGTATGGCACGGGAGGCACGCGCGCACATACGGTACTGCATATGCGAGATACATGCACAACTCGATCGTGGATACGATGCCGTGTTTGAACACCCCGTGCGTTCGATTGCGCGGAGGATGCCCGAGATGCAGCGCTAACGGGAACGGATGTTGGAGGAATCGACCGACATGTGTGCACACGGTCTACGAGAACCCGGGGGGCCCAACTTTATGAAGAAACAAACTCGTTTACTGGTTTCGTCTCAACTCTTGGCTCAGTGCCTGGGCAAATGGTGCCCCGGGAACCACGATCATGCGACCGTTTCCAGGGGTAAATGGGCAGGTTTATATACGACGGATTTGTGCGAAGCGATCTTGCGAGGCACCGACGACCTCGCACAGTTCTGGGCCGCACGCGTGGACGCCCCCCTGAGTTTTGAGCAGGAGCCGTCGCTTCTGCCTCTGGAGGCCAACCCACGCGAGGTCTCACAACGCGGGAGCCTGCAGCTGCTAGAGGCCGAGCTGTCTAAGTGCTGCTTGGCCACGGACCTGGAGGATCCCGAGGCCGGACAGGACCAGCCCAACTCTCCTTCCCCAATTGCAAATGCCCAGAACATCCGAAATGCCTTCGGGAAGCTACACGTTAACCTGGGCCACGCAACCCCATCGGGAGATGGTCCGGATCCTACGACACGGCGGGGGACACGATGAAGCCATTCGGCTGGCACGAAGTTTTCGGTGTAATATCTACGATGAAAACAAAATACCAAAACCATCTGGGACCGTCTCGGGACATCGGATTTTGAAGTTCAACAAGCAGGTAGGAATCGACGGGGTAAACATTCCAGGCTGGAAGGGACCTACACACACGGTTCCCGCACTCAATATTGTGGACGACGCGTCGTCCTTCCAGGTGATGGTACCATTGTTGCAGGGAGAAGACTCCGGGACGACACGGGAAGCCTACCGACAGTTTTGGGAGCGTTGGGCCGGTCCAGCCGAGCGCATTGTGGTGGATGCGGGGAAGGCCAACATTGGGGCCGCCCTTACGGACCCACTGGAGCTCGAACAGACCGAGATTGTGCTGGTAGCGCGGAAGGGACAACGGCAAAACGGAAAAACTGAATCACACGGGGGATGGTGGAAGCGGATTTTCAAGAAAAAAGTGGAAACGGTCCAACCTCAGAATTATGAGGAGTGGGCCGAGTGCGTCGACGCGACGACTGACGCCAAGCAGCGCATTCTGAGGGTGGACGGCCATTCCCCTTTTATCAACATGTGTTGGGCCAGGAACCCCGACCCCCTGGAGATTTGCTCCAGGACGCTGTCGATGTGGCGAGCGCGACTGGCCCGCTGCATGATACCGCTTGTGCCAGATCCCGCGAGATACGCCAACAGGCGATGCATGCCTTGCTCCAGGCCCGGGACGATCAGGATCTCCGTCGTGCTGTCTCTTCCCGAAATCGAGTTACTCACGCTTTCTAACCCCGGGGACAAGGTGGCCTACTGGCGGAAGGGGAAGAAGGCCCATGCGAGGTGGCATGGACGCGGAATACTTATCGGTCAACAGGGGCGAAACTGGTGGCTATCCCATCGGGGACACCTCATTCGGGCCGACCCTTCCCAACTCCGACCGGCCTCGACCAGCGAGGTACAAGCCGACCGACTTGTGGAGCAAGTGTTCCAGGATAAGAAACAACGACTGAGCTCCGTTGGGGGTCACCTACACTTATTGGACCTCACCAAGCAGGAATTTCCCATGGCCCCTCCAGAGCTCCATGACAGTAGGCCCGTCACAGAGACCCCGGTCGAAACCACCACCGAGACAGCCGAAACCCCGAGTGCTGATACCGACCCCAGAGGTCTCGTTATGACAGGACCCCCAGTGCCTCCCGAGCCTCCGACCGGGCCCCCAATGACCCCAGCAGTAGGACCAACACAGCCCGTCCAACAACCACGACGACGTATGACTACGAAACGACCTATCGACGAGGTCATGCAGCCCGTGGCCCAACAGGGCCCACACCTTTCCCTGACCACCGCGGGACGAGACTCGACGATGCTCGACGACGAACCACACGACGACGACCTCCTACCCCCGATAGCACCCGAGGACATTGCTGTTGAGACAATGCCGCTGCTCCGACAGGCTACACGAAGCCCGCCCCACGAGCGCGAGGCTCTCCTGTGCCAGGCCGAGGGGCCTGAGGTTGCTGCTCTCACGACGGCGGCAATCGAACACATTGCCCGAGCAGAAGCTACTAATACTACTGGTTGGCGCCAACCCTTTACGACACTGGTGGCTGGAGCCATCTCACGACGCGGTCGGAAGGAACTCAGTTTCAAGGGCGCCTCCAGCGAGCTGATCCGCAAAGGCGAGACGGCCCGTGCCCTGGAGGTCGACAATATGATTCTGAAGGGATGTCTACGGGCGGTACCCAAGAGAGAGGAGCAGGAGGTGAGGACCAAGTGGAGTTCCCGGTTCATCCCGGGACGGTTTGCGATGACTGAGAAGGAGGAGGAGGGCCAACCTACCCGCATCAAAGCCCGCTGGTGCCTCAGGGGGCATCTGGATCCCGACCTATCAGAACTGATTCGAGAGGGGAAGCTACAGAGTCCTACTATTACGCCTTTCGGGAGAGCGGTATGCTTGCAGATGGTGGCGAGTCACCAGTGGGATTTGCAACTCGGTGATGTGCATTGTGCTTTCCCAGGAGCCAAGAACATCAAGAGACGGGAACCGCTTTTCACGACATTACCCAAGGGCGTTCCAGGACATCCTGAGGGGGAGATTCTGGAGGTTACCGGAAACCTGTACGGGAAAAATGATGCACCGTTTGAATGGTTTCAGGAATTTGATGGTTGTTTACGACAACTTGGCTTCTGCCCCAGTCGATTTGACCCTTGCCTCTACTTCCTACGCTGGCTCGCCACGTGGATGACAGCATCACGGGCGGGCACGGCGCCTTGTATGACGAGGCTATCCGACTCCTGCGCGAACGATTTCCGTTTCGCAAGTGGCAGACCCACACTGGCGAATTCTGCGGCACCCACTACACCCAGGACCCCGAAACCAAAACCATCCAGGGGAACCAGGCCAAGCTCGTGGAGAAAATGCGGCCAGTTCGTTTTAGCCGACAACGACTGCGGGACCCCAAAGCCAAGGCCAACGCGACCGAGATTGCCCAGGGACGGTCCTGTTTCGGAGACGGTGGATGGGTGCGCAAGGAGACCCGACCAGATCTTTCCTGTCAGGTCTCTTTCGGCCAGAGCTGTTTTCCACAGCCTACTGCGGGTGAGTTAGCTCAGAGTGCTGCGATGGTGCGTCGTGCCAAGCAATATGCGGACTTGGCAATTACTTACCTGCCGATACCACCTGGACAACTGACCATGATCGCACACCTGGATGCAGCCTGGGGAAATGCGAAAAACAACGAAACCCAGGCTGGATATGTTCTGGCGTTCACGTCTACCGACATGTCTCTCGGCAAGGAGGCCCCCTGGACCCCGTTTAACTGGCGTTCGTTTCGATTCAAACGACTGGTACCCAGTACACTGTCGGGAGAGGCCCCGGCAGCCTCCATAAGTTGCGCTGCTCTGGAGTGGATGTCCTTGCTGTTGTATGAGGCCTTCGACGGGCCCACCGACGTGAAGAATATTGACGACTGTATGTGTACGCGGGAACCAATTGTGGTGACGGACTGCAAATCATTATATGACCATGTGAAAGCGAACACCTCCCCCTCCAGCCTAGAAGACAAACGATGCGCCATCGATGTGGTGGTGATCAAAGACTCGGTCAAACGCTGTGGTGCGAGTTTTCGTTGGTGCCCGACAAACCGACAACTAGCTGATGCCCTTACTAAGGATAAAGGGGACCCCGCAGACCTCTTGCGGGCCTGCATGAGAGCCAATAGGTACCAACTTGCCGACGAACAGCATGTGCTTGAATTAAAAGCTAGCGAACGGGAGAACCGACGGTCACGTGGGGCCCAAAGAAAGGAACAATCGACGAGGATGCCTGGGGATCCTGTGTGATTGTGCTGACGTTTGGGAACAAGGACCGGGTTCCAATGCATAAATATGTGCGTGTATGTGCCATACGTGTACTACCAACACGTGCGTGATCCGACTCCAGCTACCCTGGCTTGAGGCTCAGACCACAATATTTCTCCGTGCCCCCTTTGTTGGGTGACGCGTGAGTGTGTAGACACTCGCACGTTGCCAGCGCAGAGCCACCCAGCCGCCATGGTCAAGAAGGAGCCTCCAGAGACCCCAGCCGTTACCGGTGAGGATTTCGCTTAGCGCCTACACCAGGCTCGGCTCAAGGTGAAAGGCGAAGCCATTACCTGCGCCACGTTGGGTTTCGGCAAGCACAAGGGGAAGAGTTTCGAGACGGTCTGGGAAACAGCACAGGGCTACTGCTCATGGTGCTTTGCTCACCTGAGCCCGTCCAGCGGCTACAGCCGAGCCGCATGGCTGGCGTTCCTCGTCGAAAAGACCGAGGGCGGTGATGTGCGCCCCGAGGGCAGTGCCAGGGCCAGTTCCGATCCGGACGACACGGCCCTAAAGCAGGTGATGGATCAGTTTCAGGATGCTGCCACCGACCTGGACAATCGTGTGTCATGGCTCGAGGAGGCCGACCATTTCACTCAGATAGATGCCAGGCTTGAGGCCCTCGAGACCAGAATGGTTCAGATGGAGCACGCACTGACCAGGATTTTAGAGGTTTTGAGCGGCGCTGGCATGCCAGTGAACCTTCAGTAGCTTTGCTGAAGTGTGCTGTATGAGTGGACAGCTCCGCCCAGCACGACATGGCTCTGTGTCTCTGTCTTTTCACTTCTCGTTGCTGCTTCCACAGTTGAAGAGTTTACAGGAGTGCTTTTGTCAGAATGAGCCACAGACCAGTGTACTGTCGTCAGTGTCTTGCCTTGTTCATGTGCGCTCTATCTCCGCTGCCGTTTGGATCAGGGATTGTTCGCAGTGCGAGGCACTAGACAAAACCTTGCACGGTTACGTCTCTGCACATCATGTGGTCAGCCAGTGGGAAGCAGTGGTTTTCCCAGAGAAGGAGGAGGAGGAGGAGGAGGAGGAGGAGGAAGAGGAGGAGGAGGAGGAGGAGGAGGGGGAGGGGGAGGGGGAGGGGGAGGAGGAGGGGAACAGGAGGAGGAGGAGGAAAGGGGGGAAATGAATATGAGCAGGACGAGGCGAGCATGGCCTGGGGCCTGGGAGTCCTGGACTTTTTGGGGGGCTGGTTCCTGGTGCTGGGTCCTGGGAGGAGGTCCTCGGGGCTGGGTCCTGGAGGGTCCCGGGGACCTCGGAATTCTGGGTCCTGGGGTGTCCCATGGCCGAGCGTCCAGGAGGCCGCTTCGGTTCTGGAGGGGACCCTGGGGGGGGGAGTCGTATCTGACGCTGGACCCCTCAGGGACCCCCCCCGGGACTCCCCCGGGACCCCCCTGGGACCCCCCCCCCCGGCAGGGAAGAGATCAAAGGGAAGGGGCTTCCCTTCGACTCAATGACAACGTTGCTCTTGAGGGGGAGGCCCTGGAAAAGCGGGGAGGGAGCGGCGACGGGCCCAGGGAAGAGGGAAAGGGGAGGAGGGGAGACGGGCCCAGGGAAAGGGGGAGCGCAGGGACAGGAGACGACTGGCCCAGGGAAAGGGTGGGCGCAAGGACTGGAAACGACGGAGACGACGACGAACGAACGACGGGAACAGACAAGCCCCTTAAACACGCCGACACAGGGTCGGCGGATTTTCGGCCTCCAGAGGCCCTTGCCAGGCTTCAGGACCGTCAAAAGGCGGTTCTCGATGAAAAAACAGTCCCGGGGAAGGGGTCCATACCTCTAAGGGGCGACGTCGTGAAAAGATCACGGCGTTGGGGGGTCTGGGTTTGCTGGAGCATCATTCGAGCCGGATCAGCATTTGCGGGGGACCGGCTCGAAGAGGTCGAGACGCCCAGAGCTCAGGGACCCCCCCGCCGAAGCCGCGGCGGGCACCAGGGCTGGCGCAGGCCCGCACTGGCCGCTCTCGCTCCCGCTGCCTCTGCGCGCAGCCGCGAGGTGGGGGCCGCCTCGGACGCCAAGGCGTCTGCGCCGCTGGCAGCAGCCATGGTGCCCGCGGCCTCTATGCTGAAGCCCTGGCGTTACACCCAGAGTAGACAGATGGCACGTTGGTTTTCTGCAGCTCGCATTGGGGAACTGATTTGCGCAACTGGCTACGAATTGGATTATGTTAGTTGTCTGGGCAGAGCGATTGTGATCGGCCGGTGCCTCAAATGTGTTGCAATGTGCCGGCAGTCGCTGCGTCCTGCTCCTCCGCTTGCTCGTCCTGACGTTTTGATTTGGGGCCTCCGAGGAAAAATACGCGTGTTTGCTATTGCATGTTGTTTTCGCGTGCTGTTTGTTTGCGTGAATGCTTGCGCGAGTATATACATGTTTGCGTTTTTCATTCCTTGTTTTCTGGATTGCTTGTGTGAATGCCTGCCTGCTGGCGCGCTTGCGTGCCTACTCGCGTTTCCATTGCCGCATTACGGTTTCGTCGCCGCCAGCACACATCGACAACACAGTCACAACCGCAGCTTTGGAAGACGGAGGTCCACTAGCTCTCCTCCTAGCGGTGCGTGCACTCGGAGCTGTTGCCTCAATCCTACGGGCCCACCAAACCAGCGCCCCCTGAGGCTCCTCGCTGCAACGAGTCCCCAGTGGCCCCGCGCACCACCCCCAGCTTCCACCGCACGAAGCTCCTCGTCGCCCTCTGGCTTGCGCTCCCAAAAAAATAAGATCTATGCCAGAGCGTTCAAGTGGGCGCCGTGACATCGGGTGTTGGTTACGAGAACGCGAGGCGGATAGCACAAACGTTGCTGGACCGACGCCTGATGATCATAGAGCGTTTTCCACCGCCTGGCGCAAGGCCAGACCCAGACATCCGACGATGCGTTTTTCCATGCGCGGCCCCAGAGGTCCCGACTCCTTCCCTGGGGGTGCTTGTTCGTTACGGATCCTTGTTTGATGGTCCAGGGTCAAGATATCGGGCCCCATGGGTCGAAATCGAGGAAAAACGCCCAGATTGAAAAGAATGTCGTCGGAGATCTGGGTTATCTATGCCAGGTTGCAGCCACCCCGTTGAAGCTCGGCGGCACCTGCGCCCCCAGAGAGAGGCTCGTCGCCGCGTCAGTTTGGCCCCGTCTGGCGCCTTTTGAATAGCCACCTGTGGCCCAGCCCCGCCCAGCCCCCCGCCCCTGGGAGGCGTTTCTTCAAGCCTCCCAGAGGGAGTCCGAGCAGATGGTGTCGGAGGATCGTGCCGCATCGCCGATGTATCGGTGGTGCGGCTCGATGTGGAGCCCGATTTTCTCCACGCCGACGGCGCCGATGCATCGCCGACGTGGCTGCTGCCTTGCCGATGCCTCGGCGATGCATCGGCGATACGGCGCGATCCTCCGATGCCATGCACTTGGACATCATCTGGAAGGCCTGCAGGCTCGGAAAGGGGCCTCGCTCTCGGCGCATGCGGGAGTAGAACGGCGGCGGGCCCGCTGGCGGCAGGCGGCGGGAGCGGAGCGAGACGCCAACGTGTCGGAGCCCGGGGGGTCCGGGATCAGCCGGGCACCCCTGCCCCCCGAGCCCGTCGCCGCCCGCCTCGTGGCCTGCGCGCCACGAGGCTCGCTGCCGCCCCCTGGAACCCCCACCCAGCCGAGCGCTCCCGAGGGCCGCTGGAGGCCTCCGCGGGGCCTCCGAGGGCCGACAGGGGCTTCCGAGGGCCCTCGAGAACGCTCGCAGCGCCGCCAATGGCCTCCGAGGGCCGCCGAAGGCCGCCGAGGGCCTCGGAGGGTCGCCGAGCCGAGGGCCTCCGAGGCCGCCGAGGGCCGCCAATGCCCGCCGAGGGCCTTCGAAGGGCTTCCGATGGCATCCGAGGGGCCCCCAACGCCCTCCGAGGGCCGCCGAGCGCCGCCGGTCCGAGGGCCGCCGAGGGCATCCGACGGCTCCCGAGGGGCCCCCAACGGCCTCCGAGGGCTTCTGAACGCCACCGAGCACTGCCGGGTATTTCCGAGGGCAGCGGACGGCCACCGAGGGCCGCCGAGGGCCGCTGTGGGCTTCAGCCGCTCGGCGCTCGGCAGCCCCCCCCCATCCCCGAGGCGCTCCTGGCACAGAACGCCGCCTCGGGCGGCGGGGGAGCGCCGCCCGGGTCCGCGCCGCGGACGAAGGCCCGCCGCGGCTGCCGCGACCGTCGTCATTTCGAGGATCGAGACGAGGAGGAGGAGGAGGAGGAGGAGGAGGAGGAGGAGGAGGAGGAGTGCAAACCCAACAGTCGTCAACGATGTTGGGATGCACCCTCCCTCCAAGCTCCCTCTCCATAGGCCCCTACAACGGTCAATTTCCACTAAGGGGACTGCCTCGTTGGAAGACAATCGTTTGAAGACCCTGAAGCATGCCAAAACATTGTTCTCGGGATTCCAACGCCACGGATCAACCTGACCGTTGCGTCTTGACGATCCTGAACCGTGCCAGAACGCCATTCCTGGGAATTCAACACCGCGCATCAACGTAAGTGTTACACCCTCATAATCCTGAATCCTTCAAAAATACCGCTTCTTGTACGCTGAGCATGGGAATCCATGAAACTGTCCTGCCAATTCTAAAAAAGCGAATGTGCGCGGCGCTAAGGCGAGAGCCACATTTTGAAAAGGAACAGCCTTCAATCCGTGAAACCCTTGCAATATTTTAAGACGAATGCGCGCGGCGCTAAGGCGAGAGCCACATTTTGAAGACCACCCACCCTGAATCCATGAAACTCTTGCGAATGTTTAAGATGAACGTGCGCGGCGCTACGGAGAGAGCCACATTTTGAAAACCACTCTCCCTCAACCCGTGGAACTTCTGCACAAAAAAACAGGAATGCGCGCGGCGCTAAGGCGAAAGCCGCATGTTGAAAACGGCCCGCCCTTAACCCGTGAAACTCTGGCAAACTGATAAAACGAATGTGTGCGGTGCTAAAGCGAGAGCCAGATGCTTAAAACCATGTGAAATTGTTGTCAACGTTTCAGCTTCAGGATCATGGATGGTGAGGAAGTCTCAGGCGAAACGCCTGGCCTCCCTAAAAATTGGTTTCGGGGTGTGGCAGGGGAGAAACTACTTATGAGGATAATGAATTGAGGAGGAGCAGGAGGAGGAGGAAGAGCCCCGAGCGTCGAGCATCGAGGAGGAGGAGGAGGAACAGAGTACACCCGAGACGAATCAACGGTATTGCAAGACGCCCTCCCTCCAAGCTCCCGCACTACAGGTCTCTACAAGAAATCATCTTCATTGCGGGAACTGCTCCGTTGGAAGACACCCGTTCGGGAATCCCCAATCGTATCAAAACACAAGTCCTGGGATTCCAACGCTGCCGATCAGCGTTCTTGTTGCGTTATGACGGTCTTGGGTCGTGCCAGAACACCACTCCTGGTATTCCAACACCGCGAATCAAGATGAGTGCTGCACACTGACAATCCTAAACCGTGCCAGAATACCATTCCTGAAACGCCAACCATGAAAACCTTGGAACCTGCTGGAAGCTTCCAATAAGACGAACGCGCGCGGCGCGAAGGCGTGAGGTACATGTTGAGATCCACCCGCCCTCCATCCGTGTAGCGATTGCAAAGCTTCAGGACGAATGTGCGCGGCGCTATGGCGAAAGCCACAGTTTGAAAGCCACCCGCCCTCCATTCGTAAATCCTCTTGCGCACTTGTAAGACGAATGTGCGCGGCGCGAAGGCGAGAGCTACATTTTGAAAACCACCCGCCCTCCAGCCGTGAAACTCTTGCAAAGCTTGAGGACGAATGTGCGCCGCGCTAAGGCGAGAGCTACATTTTGAAAACCACCCGCCTTCCATCCGCGAAGCTCTTCCACATGTGTAAGACGAATTTGCGCGGCGCTCAGGCGAGATTGACATTTTGAAAACCACCCGCCTTCCAGCTGTGAAACTCTTGCAAATTCTGAATTCTCAGGAGCATGAATGGTGAGGAAGTTGCAGGCGGAACGCCCGTCCCGGACAGGGAGGAGATATGTGAAAGGAAAAAGAATAGAGGAAGTGGAGGAGGAGAAGGTGGATGAGGAAGAGGATTGGGAGGAAGAGGAGCAGATAGGATGAGGACGAGGATTGATGAGGAGGATGATAGGGGGAGAAGCATGGCATGGCTGGCTGACGGTTCCGAAACAAATTGAACCAAGAAGAAGAAAATCCTCACAGCATGGTGGGTGCCGAGATAATGTTTGGGGGTTTGAGAATGTGTGTATGATGTATCGGTCCTGACACTTCTCCTGGCAAGGAAAAAAAAACAACAACAAAAAAAACAATTGCACTCACCATTCAAATTTCGAAGTTGGGTTGGCTGTGTGGTGTGGATTTTCATATGTCGCCCGCGGGTGCCTCCGCGCCCGCGGGCGCCGCAGCGAGCGAAGCGGCTGTTGGGAAAGACGGAAGGGGGCGGGCGGGCGCGCCTGTGGGGGCCCCCCAGACCTTTCCGACCTCCCATTCGGGCCGCCGCGCCAACCGACAGTCGAGAGGATCAGGGCTGTTAGACGGTCCTGGCCCTCCCTGGGCCCCATGGGAAGCTTGCATGGGACTTGCCCGGACGGGGTGGGGCCTCCTCCTCCGCCCCCCTATCCGACTCCTCTGATTAGAGTCGGTCGTGGCCACGCTTGCTGTCATTGTAGCTCCGTAACTCCGTGACTCCATGGGACTTGCGCGAACCTCCGGAGGCCTCCCTGGGAGACCTGCCCATCGCGGCAGCGGCCGCAGCGGCCGTCGTCGTCCAAGGGCCCTGGCTCAGAATTTCGGGGCGCCCCTGGCCGAGGGCATCGCGGGCCCCGGGCCGCCAGCGCTTCGACAGACTCGGAGCCTGCGCTCTCGCCCACTCGGCCTCGGGGCCCCGTCTCTGGGCCCCGGGGCGGTCACAGAGCGATCCACGGGCCGGGCCTCCGGGAGGACAGGGGGGCGAGAGGTCCAGAGTCCAGAGGCCCCTTTACTGAAAAAAATCAGGATATCGTCGGAGGCCTGGGGTCTGGGCAGAATCGGCCAGGCATCCTGCCTCTTCTCACTCCCCTGGCTTCGCATTTGTACCCTTGCCAGTCCAGGGGCCCACTGTTAAAAAAAACCATGGTCATCAGTGGTCTGGGGTCTTGGCTGATTCGGCCAGGCATCCCGCCTCGCAGATGTACACTTGCTGAGGGGGTGAGCTTGCCGACAAGGAGGGCGCTGAACGTTTGTTGGATCTTTGGGCCATCCAACTGAACCTTTCTTCGACGTATTCTCATCCCCTAGACTCGGTGTTAGCCAGCGTGGACCCCTGACTGATGTCTTGTAATATATATTTTTATATATATACATATATATATGCATATCTATATATATATATATGCATATATATATATATATATGCATATATGTATACATACACATATATCTATAAATATACAAGTCTGTCTATAAATGCGTGTGTTGTGCAATCTAGGTGGTGCAACCTCTGTGTTGTAATCTAAGCGTTGCAACAGGTGCGGTGCAATCACAAAGCAATGCAAAGAAATGCATTCCAATGCAAAACAACGCAGAGCAAGGCAAATCAATGCAAGGCAGCGCAAAGCAGTGCAAAGCAATGCATAACAATCCAAAGCAACGCGAGGCGATGCAATGTGATGCACTGCGATGCAAAGCAATTCACAGCAACGCAAAACAAGTCGAAGCAATGCAAGACAACGCATAGCAGTGCAAAGAAGCACAAGACAACGCCAAGCAATGCAGAGGAGCGCAAAGCAAAGCAATGCAAAGCAAAGCAATGCTAAGCCACGCAAAGCAATGCAAAGCAATGCATTGCCATGCAAAGCAGTTCAAAGCGATGCAGTACGATGCAAAGCAATGCAAAGCAATGCATAGCAACGCGGCGACGGGCCGGCCAGCGGCGACGGGCGACCACAAGTCGGCTGGAGCGACGCTGGGGCCCCAGTGCAAGTGGCGGCGACGGACAGCGGCGACGGACGGCCACAAGCCGGCCGGACCGACACGGGGGCTCAGTTACTTTAGAAGCGAAGTAAGAACCCCTGGGTGCAAGCACCGTTTGGGGAAACTTGCTGACAGTTGCCACCGCCGCGGCGCCACCGGGACGGACAGGCGCAGCGTCCGAGTTCCGACGTCGCGAAAGGTTTACTCTTCTGATTTAGGGTCGCGGCGGTGACGAACGGACGGCGCGGTCGGAGCCTAAGCGGGACTCGGAATGCGAAAGGACACCAGACACCCAGACCCCCTCGCGCCTTGAGAAAAAAAAAAAAACAAAAAAAAAAAAAAAAAAAAAAAAAAAAAAAAAAAAAAAAAACCACGACGGGTGATTTGTCGCCCCGTTTTGAAAAGGAACCGCCCCAAATCAGCGCAGATAATTGTAAGGAGATCAAGCGAGAGGCCCATTTTGAAAAGGAACCGCCCTCCATCCGTGCAGCTGTTACATATGCTCAAACTCTGGGTTGTTGAGCTAAGTTTGACGAGAGGCGGGAGCCCCGTGATGAAAAGAAACCGCCCCCCGCCCTCGTAATTGCTGCAAGCGTTTTAGATGAACGCGCGCCGCGCTCAGGCGAGAGCCCATTTTCAAAACAACCCGCCCTCCATCCGTGAAGCTACTACAAGCTTTCTAAACGAATGTGCGCGGCGCTAGGGCGTCAGCCCCATTTTGAAAACGTACCGCCCTCCATTGCTGTAGCGGCTGGATTGGTTAAACGAATGTGCGCGGCGTTGAGGCGAGAGCCCCATTTGGTTAACGCACCGCAGTCCATCATGATGGCGATTATCAAGATACCAGAACGCGTGCGGCGCTGAGGCGAGAGCCCCGCTTTCAAGACATAACGCCCTCCATCGTTGTAAATGTTGGATGTGTTTAAGACGGTTGCGCGCGGCGCTAATGCGAGAGCACTTCTTTGAAATGCAACCGGCCTCCAGCTTTGTAGTTGTTGCACATGTCAAGCTTCAGGATCACCAATGGTAAGGAAGTCTGCGGTGGAACGCCTGCTGGCCCGCGCCACCGACACGTCTGAGGCGGAGAAGGAGGAGGAGGAGGAGACGGAGCAAGAACAAGAGGAGTAGGAGCGGACGGAGAAGGAGACGGAGGGGGAGGAGAAGGGAGAGGAGGAGAAAGAAGAGAAGGAAGAAGGAAGAAGAGGAGGAGGAAGGGAAGGAGGAGGGGGAGGGGGAGAAGGAGGGGGAGGGAGAGGAGGAGGCGGAGGCGGAGGCAGAGGAGGGGGGCTCCAGTCCTCTGAGACAGGACCGCCCTTAGCAGCGGCAAAAGGAGAAGGGGTGAAGAGAAGGATGAGGAAGGGAGAAGATGAGGAGGAAATGGAAGAGGAGGAGGTGGAGGAGGCAAGCTAGGAAAGAGGTGCGCTCGCGCCACATATGACATTCTACTCCTCCCACCCATCCCTTCTGATTGCGCTGAGATTATCTCTACGCTCCGACGGCTGTCGCTGCTGATCTGAAACCCTCGAAAGGACCCCTTTTTTTATCGTGTTATGCGCAGTCAGACACGGGGTGAGGTAAGGGTCGGCCCGAAACGCGAGGTCAAGCCTCAGACGAGCTCGAAGGACGTACCGAAGGGCAGCGCGGACACCGCAGGGGCACCAGCCCCTACTTTTCGCCCTGAGGATGGCCTGGAGGCCGACCAGCGTGGAGGCGAGATTGGCCAAGTCGACCCCGCTGCTCCCTGCGGCGGATGCGGCGACCGCGCGCTGGGCAGCCACGACCTCGGCCTCTAGCATGGCGACCTCCGCGGCGCAGGCGGCCTGCTGCTGGCGGAGGCGGTCCACGGTGGCCTGAGCCTCGGCCAGGGAGGCCGCCACCTGGCCAGCGCTGCACTTGGCCTCGTCGAGGCGCTTCTGCAGGGAGAAGAGGAGGCGCTCGGGCGGCTGGGCGCGCCGCTCCTCGGCCTCCAAGGCAGCCAGGTCGCGTTCGGCCGCCACGATGAGGTGGTGCTCGTCGTCCTACTTCAGCTGCTGCAAGGCCAGGAGCCCCTGGCGCGCGCGGGCCACGGCGGGGTTGACGGGCTCGCCTGCAGCAGCATCACCAGGAGGGGGAGCGCGGCCACCAGCAAGAGGGCCTAAGCGACGGCGGCGGCCAGCGGATGCCGAGCGCGCGCCAGCCGGCGCAGAGGCGGCCTCCCGCTGCAGGCATCCCGCACGATCGCGGCCGCACTTCCAGCACGATTCCCTCGAAGCAAACTTGTTGCGAAAGCTGCACAGCCGCGTGGCGGTGCAGGCCCACATGGGGCCCTGCCCAGAGCCAGACGCGGCTTGCCTCGGCGGCGGCTGGGCCATGCGGCCGTAGGCGTCGCTGGGCCGATCGCCGTGGTGCCCAGCCAGCCGCTTCCGCGTGGCAGCACAGCGGTGCGTGACCCTCGCGCGCGCACGGAAGCGCCGTGCGCGGCGATGCCACGCGGGGGAGCGGAACCGCTCCAGCTCTAGCGGCAGCGAGCGCCCGCCGAAGGCGTGCCGCTGGCGAGGGGGCTCTGGCTCGCGGGCGCGGCGCCCGCCCGCTGGCAAAACGGCTGCGGGGGGGCGGGGCCGCGGGAGCGCCAAGCCACCTAGACAGGAGGAGGGGAGGAGGAGGAAGAGGAGGAGGAGGAGGAGGAGGAGGAGGAGGAGGAGGAGGAGGAGGAGGGGAGGAGGAGGAGGGAGGAGGAGGAGGAGGAGGAGGAGGAGGAGGAACAGGAGGAACAGGAGGAACAGGAGGAACAGGAGGAGGAACAGGAGGAACAGGAGGAGAACGAGGAGGAGGAGGAGGAGGGATACCCAGACATCCGATGTTTTGACTTGTTCCATGCGCGGCATTTGGAAGTCCAGACCCATTCCCCAAAGGTGGCGTTTCATCCCGAGTTGTTGCTCGACGGCCCCGGGGCCTGGCGAGGGCCCCCAGGGTCCGAAAGTCGCACCCCCCCTCAACAAGAACTCCCGTCGTGATGTTTCGGCGACGCGAGCACGTCTGGGGCAGGAGCGAAGGAGGAGGGCTCCCGGCACGCGCCGCGCCCGGCAGGGCCCTGCCGCCGCGACCACCGCCTGAGACTGCCCGCCGCTGCGCGGCGGCGCGGCGGGGCTCGGCCCCGCGAGCCCCAGGGGGCGGCTGGACGCCGCCAGCCCCGAGTGCCACGGCCCAGCGCGCCACGATCGCCACGCCGCTGCTCGGTGTCGCTCGGGCGCGTGCGTGTTTCGGCCACGCGCAGAGGGTGGCGCGGGGGAAGGGGAAGGCTTCTGAGAAGCAAAGCACTTTTGCTTCTTAGAAGGCGCGGGCCTCGTCTACAGATGTAGGGCCGGTGCCTTCGAAGAAGCAGCCTCCTTCTCGGAAGCCGTTCCCTCTCCCCCTACCCCTCTCTGCGCGCCGCCGAGGTTTTCTCGGCGAGAAAAGGAAGCCGAAAAATGCACGGGGGATGGACGCCCGAGCGACGGCAAGGCCAGGCGCACCCAGATCTCCGACGACCCAGGCCACCCAGATGGGGTCGGAGGATCACGCCGCATCGCCGATACATCGGCGATGCAGCTCGATTCGGAGCCCGATTTTCTCTGCGCTGGCATCGCTGGCGCAGCGCCGACGGCGCTGGTGCATCGCCGACGTCGCTCACATTTCCGACGATCGAGGACAGGGGGTCCACCGCGGGTCCAAGCAATCTGCGCGGACCTCCGAAAGCTTATGTTTATCATCCAAGAAGTGTTTGCGCTGAGGCGTTCTTATTTCTTTTCAAAGGAACTGAGCCTGGGTGTCTGTCTGGCAACTCTGCGCTCGCCGTCGCCGCCCCGGCGCAGCCTCGTCGCCGCCAGTCGTCTGGGCCTCGGTGGTGGTCTGGCAGCTCCGTGCTCGCCGTCGCCGCCCCGTCGCCGCACCACACCGATTGCGCAACATAGATTGCACCACGTAGATAGCACCCCATAGATTGCACCAAGTCGATTGCATCACATCTATTGTACCACAAGGATTGCATAACATATATTGCGCCACGCAGATTTCACCACGCCAGTTGCACCTAGTAGATTCACAACATGCATTTCTCCTCAAAAAAGAAATTGGATCCACCACCCTCCCGAGGGCGGATTTATCAGAACCCACTGGGGATGTGCAATTTACGCACGACTCTGCCCCATTGTCCATCCAAAATAGGAATTCATACCTTCCCAGGCAGGCCGAAGCTCGCATCCCCCCTCATTCTCTGCAAAAAACGATACGCGCGCACTCGTTGATCAAAAATCATCCGTTGTCAAGAATACCTAGCAAAAACGGAACGAACTGCACGCGCGCGCTTCGGCAGGCGCGCATGCTGGAATCCTTCAAAAACTTCAGATTTCGTAATGAATTCAAAATCGAGTGCCCCGAAACATGTGTATATAGATCAGAAAACACATGGTTTCGCAACACGGGTTTTCAAACAAAAAACAGCAAAAAAATCGCCCGCGGTCTGGCGACCTCCGAAGAAAACCGTCGTTTTTTCATGAGTTTCAAAAAATGCTACCAAGCGGGCCTCTCGCGCGCGCCTGTCGAAATCGCTCGAACGCCCTTGCGCGCGTGCTGTCGCAAGAATCCCTTACAAAATCGGGGACGAAGTGCTCGCGCGAGCGTCGTCGCGCGCGCATGCCGAAATATGTCAAAGAAATTAGGTTTCGCAAGGATGCCTTTGAAAATAGATCTTGTGTGAATGTTTAACTCATGAATGTGTTTGCAGCATCAGCTTTCAAAAAATGCCTGCGCGCGCTCTGGCGAATTCTCGAGCAAACCATGGTTTTTCCCTACCTAGGCTCTGCCTAGAAGGGTTCTTACTCGCTTGGCTTAAAGGGGCCGGGCAGTGCAAACCGCCCCGGGCGGTTCCCCCAGTCCCTTGGGAGCCAAGCAAAAGCAACAGCAAAGGTAAAAGCAAACGCGCGGTTCCCCCAGTTGCGCTCCTTGGGTGCCAAGCAAATGCAAAAGCAAAGACAAAAGTGAAGGCAAAAGCGAAGGCAAAGCAAAAGCATAGCATAGTATAGCATAGCATAGCATAGCGCAGCATAGCATTGCGCAGCATAGCCTAGCCTAGCCTAGCTTAGCCCAGCCCAGCATAGCATAGCATAGCATAGCATAGCATAGCATAGCATAGCATAGCATAGCATAGCGCTGCTACAACTACGACGATGAGGAGAAGGAGGAGGACGGCGTTTACCGCTCCTACTAATGTTGTTGTTTTCCTAGAGGCTCCAACTCCTAGGTAGGGTCGCACTGGGATAAAATGTTCAACATTGCCATCACATTCTGCCCAACGGGCCTCTCGCGCCCCCTGTCGAACTCATCCGAACGCCCTTGCGCGCGCGCGCTGAGGGGCACGATCCGTGTCAAATAATACCGCGCGTGCCACTCGCGCGCGTCGGCCGCGAGCGCATGTCGAACTCCTTCCAAAACCTTCATCACCGAGGCGAGGACATTGGCATCGTTATCGGCGGGCGTGATCAACCTCGGCGCCGTCATTGGCCTTGCCGTCGTCATCGCCACCATCGTCACCATCATCGCTACTCTCATCATCACGTCTACCGTTGTCGGCGTCGCCATGATACCGCGCCCGCCCACGCCACCGATTCGCACGAACGTGTTTGCTGGGAGTGCCCAGCGGTCAGCGCCACCGCGGCCGCGTCGGTCGCGCCGCACTAGCTGGTCGTTGCGCGAGCGAGCATGTGCTGGCTAGCGCGGCCGCAAACATGCACCAGCCAACGCCAAGCACTCATCGCAATCCCCGTCGCATGGGCTTTGAAGACCAAGTTGCGGGCGGGCGGGTTCGATGTTGGCGCGAGCAGTGGAATTGGCAATCTCAAGTTCGACAGGGCGAACTGCGCCACATAGATTGTTCCATACGGATTACACCACAGATCTTGCACAACATAGACTGCATCACTTATATCGCACAACGTATCGAATTGCTTGTGGCAAACCCCGCCACGGCGCTTGTGCAACAGCGCAGCAGGACTGAGGCTGACTGCAAGAGCAGCGCAATTCCGACGAGCAGTCTGCATTCGGGTGGGTCGTGATCCCGACCTCGTCTTCGTCCGCGCGGTAGGGAGGAGGAGGAGGAGGGGGAGGAGGAGGAGGAGGAGGAGGAGGAGGAGGAGGAGGAGGGAAAAATTGAGGATGGGGAACAGAAAGCTTCTTGGGGCTTTCTTGGGATTTCCTTGGGGGCATCCTGGGAGTCTCCAGGAAGCTTATTGGGACCTCTTGTGGGCCTCATGGGGCCTGTGGGGGGCTACTTGGAGCCCCAAGAGGTCTCCAAGAGGCCCTCCAGGAGAGCACGAGGAGGCCGAAAACCATTGGTTCGCCTCACGTTGTTGGAGGAAGTTGAGGTTCTACCATGTTTGGGTTTCCGACCGCCCAAGACAGCGCATGAGGCATATTTGGGTCGTATTGTTGCTCTCTTGGAGCGCTTCACGGCCATCTTGGGGACCGCTTCGGGAGCCCCATAGACGATCTTTGGGGCCTCTTGGGCCGACTTGGGGTCCTCTTGGGGGCCTCTGGGGTTGTCTTGGAGCTATCTTGGAGGCCTCTTGAAAGCCTCCTGGGCCGTCTTGGGTGGTCGGAAACCCGAGCAGGCGAGAACCTCGAAATCGATCAAACAAATTGAAAACCAATGGTTGTGGCACCCGTGGGCTCTCCAGGAGAGCCTCTTGGAGCTCTTTCGGACCGCCTTGAAGGCCTCCTCTGCCGTCTTGGGGCCCTCTTGGGATATCTTGGGCCGTCTTGAGGCTCTCTTGAGAAGCTCTTGAGCTGTCTTGGAGGCCATCTTGGCCGTCGGGAAGGCGAAAAGACCGCCAGAAGGCAATTTGCCGTCTTGGGGCCCTCTTGGGATATCTTGGGCCGTCTTGAGGCTCTCTTGAGAAGCTCTTGAGCTGTCTTGGAGGCCATCTTGGCCGTCGGGAAGGCGAAAAGACCGCCAGAAGGCAATTTCAGAAGGGGCGTTTTTTCGTGGCGCGTGCGTCGAGGGGGGTCCCTTAAACTCCACAAACCTTCCCAGACAACAGACGCGCATTCTAACACGCCCACTCCGTGCAGGCACGGTGGCGGATACTGCACCATGCAGATAACACCACATCGATTGCCCCACCCAGATTGCATGACACTTACTGCTAGGAACACACTGATTTGGGGCCCACGCTGGCTTACGTGTAGTTCTTGGCTCTCCTATACGATCCGCTTTTTCCCGTGCAAGCTCTTTTCCTCGATCTCGGCCTCTGTGGCCCGTGATTGGGCCCCGGGGCCAAAAATCGATCCGGCACGCAAGACGAGCTCCGGGGCAGGGTCCAGATTTCTGGGGCCGCGCCAAGGCGGAGGGTTTCGGACGCTTTCGCCGGTGTCTATGAGCTTTCTTGCTGTGATTCGGCCAAGTGGCCTTCTGCTGAAGTGGCCTTCTGCTGAAGTGAGCGACGCAAAAAAACAAAAAAAAAAAAAAAAAAAAAAAAAAAAAAAAAAAAAAAAAAAAAAAACTGGGTCGTTTGCGCCGACATTCGTGCGTAAACGGCCCGCGCATGGTCGCGCGTAAGCGCCCTTGTCTGGAATGTAGCAAGCCGCGCTGGCGGCCGGCGTAAGCCATTGCGTAAGGTCGCTATGTCCTCTCGCGTAAGACCATTTGTTTCGGAGGCCTAGGGATTGTTGACGTTAACACAGATATCGGCGGTGCACCTTCAACGAGGGAAGATGATTCCCATCTCGATGATGGCAGTGATATTTGGGCTCCCCAGGCGACCGAAATATGACCGCCAGCACCGAGATCTGGGGTCATCTTCCTTCAGCGGGGGCAACCGGGGCAACCCATTGTGTCAGTGTTGGTGCCCCATTTCCAGGCCGGGGGCGACGAGACATATACATATCCACCGCCGCCCGCCAGGCCCAGCCTGGGCCCAGGAGCGGCGTATATGCTTCCATGGCCAAGCCAGGGGACGTATACACCGCTGCTGGGCCCAGGATGGGCCTGGCCAGCGGCGGTGAATATGTCTAGGTCTCGTCGCCCTTAGGCTCGGCCACGTGCAGAGAGGGTTGGGGGAGGGGGGAAGGCTTCTCAGAAG